TTTTTTTTTTTTTTTGGTACTGGGGATCAAACTCAGGTCTGTTCATTACTTCTTTACTGCTTTGTTTTTCAGTAAGTTAATAGTATCAAGTAAAGTATTTTCATTTTTTAAATGTTTATTTATTTTCCTTATTGATTGCCCTATGGCTTACCAAATACATCTTCACTTATTAGATTCAGCTTTGCATTTATAATTTAATTCCAGTGAAATATAGAAACATACTGTTTTGTTGTGTTTGAAATTTTTGATGTTGTTATTATATATTATATCCATAAGTGTTATAAATTCAATATTACATTATCATATTTGTTATTTTATATAATATTGATCTTTTAAATAAAGGAAGAGTAAAAAGGACATCAAGTATATGTTTTACAGCTTTTGTTATATTCAGGATCTTGGTATTTTAAGTTTTGTTATATTGTTATCATTTATGACTCTCCTCCTTTGTGACCTGGAGTTGGTTCCTTAGTTTAGTACAGCTTTATTCCCACTCAACTCTTTTGTGTTGTCATAAGTAAAAATATTACATTTCTTTATTTTATAAATCTAAGCATATTATATATGTAATATTCTTAATCGTTGTCTTGAAATCAGTTACAAGTAAAGGAGAAGAAATATGTTTTATACCATGTTATGATTGTGTAATTTTCTTTTGAGTGCTGTTGTCCATGTGGAATCAAATTATTGTCTAGGATCACTCAATTTCAGTGTGAAGGAATCTTTTGTTATGTCTTTTAAGATGAGCTAGTAACCAGTTATTTAAGAATTAAGTAGAAGAATATTTCAGATTTTACTTGAGAATGTATTTTATTTTGTTCTCAGATTTGAAAGATAGATTTTCTTTCCCTTTCCCTCCTCCCTCCCTGCCTCACTCTCCCTCTCTCCCTTTCTCTCTCCTCCCCTCTTCCTCCTGTCCTCCCTCCTACTTTCCTTTCTTTTTCCCTTTTTCCTCTTTCTCTTCCTCCTCCTTCTTCTCTCTTTTTTTTTCAGCTTTAATTGAGTTTATTGGTACATTTTAGGGATACAGTACAGTTACATTCATTGTTGGGATCTTGTACCTCTACATGACAAGTCTTGATTCTCATTTTTCCCCTTGTCCCTGCCCTCCCTTCACCCCCTCCTCTCCTCCCCATCTACAAACACTTTATTTTCATCTTTTCATTAAAAAAACCCTGCCCTCCCTCCCTCCCCTTCCCCCTCTCTTTCTCTTCTTGTTTGGTTTTTTTGACACCAGGTCTCACAATGTAGTTCAGGCTGGCCTTGAACACGCTGTTGCCACCATTCACATCTGAACGACCATTTCAGAATAGAAATTCTTGATTGGACTTTTTCTTTGATTACTTTGAATATTGTTTGGTTGTGATTTGTTCTCTGTGTTTTTTAGATGAGAAGATTGCTGTTGATCATATTGGTGTTCCCTTGTAAAGAAAGAATCATTTTCTTCATTATTCTTTTATAATTTGCTGCTTGTTGGATTATTTTTGTGTTGTTTTTGAAGAATTCTTTTCTCCTTCATTTGAACAACTATCAGTAAAGCCTCAGAGTAATGTGTTCTGTGTAGAAAATTTTTAAATATGAAATAAAAATTCTATGTATCAGAGTTCACATTTTATATTCTTATAGTTTGACTAACACTAATATTTACATTTCATTTATATTTTAATCTTTTTAAATTTGGTGAACTTATACATATCTTTTTTGCTCCTTATTTCATATGTTCCTGAATATTATGTACTTGTTACTTATAATGTTCTATATTAAGGTGTTAGGCTGCACCATACTCTACTCCTTTGAATGTAATTAGCAAAATAGATCAACCTCCTCTTTCTCTCTTTTAAAGTAATTAGAACAGCTATGCTTAGGTATAATTTCCATATCATAAATTCCATATGTATCTTTTCTTAAATGTGAAAATATTTTGGTAAACACATGAATTGGGCAGATTATCACTACAATCCCATTTTAGACTATTCCTATGACTTTAGAAAGAGCCTTCTTTTCTCCTTGCAGTCATTCCTCATTTTCATTCCTGTCACATTTCTGCCATTTACAGCCACAGTTTTTAAAAAATGTTTTCTAGAAGAAATGGTCCACTGAGTATGGAGATTTTGTGTAAATATGCTTATCACTTCTTTATATATAATTTTAAAAGCTTAAAAATAACCCACAAGTGGGAAATCCATATGAAAATTCTTACATTTGTTCAGTGCATTATATGTTTATGGTATTTTAATTACAATATTATAAATATTTTAAAAATATGTAAATGTTAATTATTCCTACAGATCAAAGGAAGGTTTTGTGTTCTTGAATTGTAGACTTAAAAGTTAATACAATTCCATCACAATAAGAATGTGTTTTATTAGACATCTTACAGTACACTTCCATAAAAAGATCTCTTAGAGATTCAAGAGACCTTACTAAAACAAGTTAATTTCAGGATAAGCAGTGGGAAGAAGAATGAAAACAAAATTTTGTTTTAATCAGTGTAATAATGTACAAACATTTTAGCAGTGGTAAAATGAATACATAGAGAAACTAATTACAGTGTTTTTTTAACACATTTGGCAGTATTTTATTTTAGCTGCTGCTTTTAGAAAACAGGTATGATGACTTTTAACCATCATAGTAATAACATTATCTTTTGCATCCTTCTCCCATAAAAAGAATCAATGAAATATTTCAGACTAATTGTTTAAAAGGACAGTAGCCTACAGTCAAAAAAGATGATATCTCTAGTGATTTATACAAATATTATCTGTGTATAGGAAGCAGAATACTTAATTCTCACTGAAAGTTATAAAATATATATATGTTAGTAATTACTAGTACAAAACTTTCAGCACAAAAAAGATGTTATTACTTGCAAGTCCAGTGTGGGGCAATTTTCATATTCATACTTAATGGTTTTTGTGTTTCTCATGGTAACCAATTCTTTTATGATTATAATAAAAGAGAAGGGCCCCAGCCTGCCTGAACAAAGCAAAGGAAAAACATTTCAGTAAACAAAAATGGAAAAGCAATGAGTATTAGAAATAGGAGAAAACAAGTTTTATGACTGGATTGAGTCCTCACGGAGGCTAAAATCATTGCAAATGAAGAATAGTTTATTTAATTTTAAGAGTTAAGATTAGGCGATTTTATTCTAAACTTTGAATTTTTCTTCAGTAAAAAAGTTTTAAAATGATTGGAAGTAAAACCAAAGCTATTTCAATTAGGGTGAATTTCCTCATACAATTTTATAAATCTGAGAACATTTCTTAGGGCATTCCTATAGACGCAGAATTATCTTAAGCATTGTAAAAGATGCATGAATATAAATTACATATAAAGAACTTATTTAAAAGAAAAGCTGAAAGACAGGAGAATCCTAAAGAATGTAAAGTTGATTGAACTTCAAATTATGATATACTTGAACACCAAGTTCGATAGGAACACCATGTTTCATGGAGATGTGTTGTCTTTGTCGGAACTAGGAAATGCTTCATAGAGAAGACAGCTTTAATAATAAACTTTTAAGATGGTTTGGAAATTTTCAATAAGTGATTTTTGTTTCCTGAATTGGATAAAGATCTGTAAGAATCTGAATTGGGGAAGAATCTCAGTTACCTCTCATGAATTCACGCAACTTAAAATGCTGTGCTTTTTTTAAAAAAATAATTGGTACCCTTTCATTTGTTTTCTTTTTATTCCCCTTAAGGGGATAACTATTAGAATTTTCAAAAGCAAATCCTTTAAAACCTGCTATCCAATTACAAACTTTCTTGTTTGGTAAATCATTATAAAAATTCGGCAAAATGAACACAATATCACTTTTTGACAGAGCATGCAGTGCAGGCTTGAGACCCTTGGAAGTCAGAAACTATTTAAGACAAATTCCATATTGATTCTTACTTTTTGGCCAAGACCATTAATTTTATTGAAGCACAAGGAATCACACACCTGGCATATCAGGGAGGTCTTGCTGGGTTGAGGTGTTGATATCAGAGTTCATTCCTCTGAAACAGCTGGAATCTGTTGAAGTAGGAGGCCTCTGTGAGTGTGCCCTGTAGATCCTCAGGTAAGGGCTGAGCTGCATATTTGCAGTATGATCTTTAAGAGAAAGAAGTTATTACCTGTAGTATAAGAGTGAACCAGAAATGGCACAATTTTTAGAACTTTGTAGTTTTTTTCCCATCAAGAGTAGGATTATGTCTGGATCCACAGATATGCAGTAATTATTGTACAAATGAATGACACCACTGAAGGAGAAATTGAAGGCTTTTCTTTTGTATCTATATATAATTAACACTTTTTTCTAATCAGTTCATTTCTATAAATTAAGTTTTTAAAATCTTTACATAGTATTGGTTGTTATTTCAATTTAAATTTGTAAGTTCCAAAATAACCCTTTCTTCCATGTAACTACATGTGTGTTAACATTTTTTGCTCATATTAGAAAAATGAGTTTCATGAATTTGCCTTTATTGGCAAGTAAGTGATCTAAATTGATATGTCTTTTCTTTGTAATAGTGTCATTACATTAAATGATGTTGCTCTTGCAAGGATATTGTTTTGTGTCAGTGATGTGCTTCTTTTCTTAAATATTTGAAATATTGCAAAATTATAGGATCAGAACTTGGCATTTTTACTAATATGAAATGTAGTATTGGTGTTTTGGTTTAATCCTTTTCCACTGTATTGAAACAGTGATTTCATGTGTTAAAATTTTCTATGCTAATCTTTAGTCATTTATTGTCATACTTTTGAATATAACCTTTTCTCTTCTATATTTGTGTTTGCTGAAGGGTAGTAATAATGATTGCAGAACATGCAGTTTAATAAAATTAAACAGCATGTTGAATATTTATTATATTCAAGGAACTCTTCTAAGCTTTGAGGATTAAAAATTATTAAGCTCATTCACTTCATGAGAATGTAATTACATCCCTAAATATTTATAATTAAGAGTTGATATGTGCACTAGAAGGGAAATATAATGCAAATACTATTAAAACTTTGTTCAAATACTGTTAAAACTTTCCACGTACAGAGGATTTAGGAAATCTTTATAGAGAAGAGGTATTTTAGGGCTTCTATAAGTTGAATAGATTTTTAAAAGATGAGCAGGAGCTGATGATAGTATTTGAGATCCAGAGCATGAATGAAAATATAGAAATAAGGGAGTACAAAGTGTGCTTAATGAATGATCCATAAGTAGACATGTCTTGTTGATAAAATAAACAGCAGGGTTATGATTTTGCAGTGACCTATGAAAATAAGAATGAAATATGATGTTTATAACAAAGGTATAACTAAGTTACTGAAGGTTTGAATATTATAATAATATGTATGAATGTTATTTCCATTCAAGTTAAATGATAGAAAATTTGTAGCAAGAGAAAGAATTAATCTTATTTTGTATTTTTTTAGATAAGTTTAGAAATGTAGATTAGGATATAAATTATTTTTTGTAATGAATCAGAATGAATTATTATTTGAAAGGAAGATTGTTTTACAATGTACAGATAGCCCTGTTCTCTTAGTTTTCTACCAGGAAATAGAATTGAATATTACAATGTTATTATCAGTTGTAACAGTTGTGATATAGTGTTAGAGAGAGAGTAATAGATATTGTCATTTATATTTTTATAATTTTTAATACATTTAGTACAAAAGTGGCTATATTTATAATGTTAATGAAGTTTTATAAAGATTTGTATTGCAAAATAAAATGTTTCTGCTCATGGGTCCATGAGATAAACTTCTTTTATTGAATATTGCAATATTCTGGCATATTTTGTCATATTTACCTTAAGTAATTCTAATTTAGGTGATTAGGGCTCTGCTTAATTAAGTTTTACTTCTTTATAATTTTCCCCACAATTTTTATTTTTATTAGTACATTTTTGCCTTAAATAATGATTACATTTCTTGTGGGAGGCTAGTGTAAATACATAACACATTTCAATTATTTTTTAGTGCCCTTTCCCACTTTCCCCTCCATCTTTTGTTCTACTTCTCATTTGAGAAGAATCTATGAACCAGAATCCTATTGTCTGTTTTTTTTGCTCTTATACATTTGAATTGCTATATTAAAAAATCATTGAGATACTTGTTCTTGTTTGACTAATTTATTTCACTTAAATTTATGGTATCAAGGGGCATCTGTTTTCCTATGGATTACTCAAATTGCCCTTCTTTATGGCACCAGAGTATTCCATTGTGTGTAAATATGCCACATCTTCTTTATCCATTCATCTGCTGATGGACATATAGGTTGTTTCCAAGATTTAGCTATTATAAATTGTGCTGCTATAAACATTGGGTGTGCATGTATCATGGTAATGTAATGTCTTTAACGCTTTTGGGAAGATACCTAGTAGAGGAATAGCTGGATCAAATGGAAATTCTAGATTTACTTATTTGAGAAATCTCCATACTAATTTCTGTATCATCAGTGTAGAAGGATTTCTTCTTTCCTGAAGCCTAGTCAACATTTGTTATTTGATTTCTTTTTTTTGCGGGGAAGGTGGAGATAAAGTTTACTGATGAACTTGTCACAGGGAGGGGCAGCACAGTAGAAGCCTTCAAGAATGCAAGGCCTGCCGCTTGTCCAGGGGACCAGGGTTTGGGATGTATTTCAACCTGCAGCCATCAGGGATAAGGCGCCTCTCCGCCACCATATTTTCAGATTCATCTGCATTAAACTTGGTGAAGCCCCACTGCTTGGAGATGTGAATCTTTTGGCAGCCAGGGCACTTGAACTTGGCCCTGTGTAAGACCTCAATCACATGTTCCTTGTTCTGCAGCGTGGTGCAGATGGACATGATGACCTGTCTAATGTGAACCCTGGCCAGTGTGCCCTGGAGCTTCCCAAAGGCACCTAACATGCCTGTCTGGAGCTTGCGTTGGGGGGACAGTAGGAGGTCAGATAATGAACATCCACCTGGAAGCAGTGTCTCTAAGGTCCCTTAGAGCAGCCCATATAAGCAGCAGGTTACATACACTACCCAGGAGATTGCTGTTTGCAGCCACTACACGCACACTGGGTACCCACCAGCAGAAGAACCCTGTTCCTGTTGGCTTAATTGACGGCAGCTGTTATTTCACTTTTTTTTTTTTTTTTTTTGGTACCAGGGATTGAACTTGGGTCCTTGCGCTTGCAAGGAAGGCCACTGAACTGCTAAGCTAAATCCCCGGCCCCTGTTATTTCATTTTTGATGGTAGGTATTCTATCTGGAGTGAGGTGGAATCATAGTCTTATTTTAATTTACATTTCTTTAATGGCTAGAGATACTGAAAAAAATTTTTGTGTGTTTATTAGTCATTTATATTACTTCTACCAAGAACTGTCTATTCATTTCATTTTACCATTTTTGGATTGGGTCTTTTATTTTGGGGTTCTAGTTTTTTGTAGTTTGTTACATATTCTAGTTATTAGTCTTTTGAGATATGGCTGATAAAACTTGTTTTCTCAATCTGTAGGTTGTCTCTTCACTCTGAAGGCTGTTTCCTTTGCTGCATAAAGCTTTTTCATTTTATATGGTCCCATTTGTTGATTGTTGGTTTTATTTCTTTTACAGTTGAAATTCTGTTCAGAAAATTCTTACATATGCTTGCCTTCAATAATTTATCTGTTTTATCTTCTAGGAGATTAAGTGTTTCTACTTGAACATGTAAATCTTTGATCCATTTTGATTTTAGCTTAGTATATGATTAATGATAAGAAAGGCTCTGCATGGATAGCCAGCTTTTCCCAATATCATTTATACCCAATGGGTATTATGGTGGATAAGAAACAACTGCCCTTATTCTCCTAATGAAAATATGTACTTTAGCATGACAGTAATCGGCTGTGCATCTCAGTAAGTGTGCTGGAGGAAACAATCTTTGTGTTCACTTATTTGGTATGAGGAGCATCAAGGTGTACACACATATGTCAGTGTAAAAGGGTGACTTTTACCCACATTATGTGCTTTGTTACATTTTTGTGTATTTGTAGTTTTTTTTTACATGCTTTCTTTTTATTTTTCTTTTAGAATTAGGCTAATTCTGTACAATGTTGCATGAAAATCCACTTTACAACCTTGAGAGGAGTTTGAAAGTGAGCCATCAGGTTATTTAGCTTCCAATGATGACTTGGATCATGTAAGCCAAAGAAGTTAACAAAATATGACACCTAGAGAAGCACAGAATAAAGACTTTGATTCAGATGAGGAAGAAAACAGTAATGTAAATAAATATTTGACTTCATAATGCTACAAAATGGTCATTTATACCTGAAAAATCCAACATTAGAACTCGGTTGAAAATGTTATTAGATTCTTGCCAGAAGTGAAACCTATGGGACAGAATGCCAACACTGCAGTTTAGTTTTGGAAATTGTAATGGATGATATGCTATAAGATGTTTTGAAATAATGAAATACAAATAAAACATTCTATGTGCATCAAGAGTAATGCTCAAAAATATATTTATCATCATCACTTATCTGAACTAAAAGATTTCATAGCAGGACTTTATAATTCTAATCCTGCTAATCAGAATCTAAAGGATTTATGGAGATGTGACAGATATGGTGTTGAGATTTTTAGAACAATCATGACACTCAAGAGATTTGATTTCTTTCACAATGGCCTACAGTTTTGACAACAAAAAGCCCCACCCACCAAAAATCAAAAGAACTGACAGTTTAGCTGCTATTCCCTTCTTTTATGAAAGCGTTGTTTTGAACTGTCAAGCAATTTATATACCTTCTGAATACATGACACTTGAAAACTAACATCATTTCATGTTTGTTGAAGGTTTTAGCAATATAAGCCAAATAAGCCTCCCAAATATGGTATAAAAATGTGTCCCCTGGTAAATATAAAGACATTTTACACCTTGAATTTAGAAATTTTTCCTGGAATTCAGCCACCAGGTCTTTTTTTGTCAGTAATAAATTGTCTGACATTGTGTACAGACTTATACCTATTTCAAAAAGTATCACAAATGTCACATTTGACAATTGATTCACAAGTTGTCCATTGATGTTACATTGTTAAAAACAACAGCAAAACAGTAGACCAACACAGGAACAAAGTGGAGATTCCTGAAAAAATGTTTCAAGTTCACAATATAGAAATGTACAGTACAATCTGATAAGTGCACATTGCATAATATAATAGGTAGCTTTTTGCTAAAGAGGAAGACAAGAGAGATGCCCAGTATGGACTGCCAAACAGTGAAGCACACATGCTATTAACATGAGTAAGACTTGTGTATGGAACATGCTGTTGTCATGTGGGCAGACTGCCTTAGGTGTGATCATTGAAGCAAAGATTATTTCTGTGGTAGACTTTTATGTGTATTTTCATTGTAGTTCGCAGAAGAATTTATTTCTGTTACTTTTTAGATCCTGTAAGCAAATAAACAGTTGACATTGAAAATGTTGATGTTTATTCTACACACTCATTACCTATTAAATATTTAATATTTTATTTTCCTATTAAATACATATAAATGTGGTAAAACTCATAAGAGTAAAATTAATAATTCATCAATAGAAATACTCCTATAAAACAAATGGGTGTTATATATCCCCATAAGGCACCTTTTCAAAAAATTTACTATAGTGCCCCTAAGGAATCTTTTAAGCAATGTGTGTTTTTGCCCTCATTGTCAAAGATTGGGTTGATTCTGCATCATCTGTTCTGTTTTATTGATCCAAATGTCTGTTTTTGTACCAGAACTATGCTGTTTTTATCAATATAGTTTTGTAATATAACTTCAAACTCGGATTGTGGTGCCTCCTGCTTTGCTCTTGTTCCTCAGGATTAGTTTTGTTATTCTCATTCTCTTCTAGTTACATGTGATTGTTTTCTCTAGTTCTGTAAAGAATGCTGTTGGTATTTTTATTGAGATTGTGTTAAAACTGTATATCAGATTTGGAAGTGTGGACATTTTGAATATATTAGTTCTACCCATCCAGGAAAAGTAGATATCTTTCTATTTTCTAATGTTGTCTTCAATCTCTTTTTTCAGAGTACTGTAGTTTTCCTTGTAGAAGTCTCACTTCCTTGTTAGGTTAATTTGTAACTAAAATTTTCGATGCTATTGTGAATGGTATTGTTTTCCTAATTTCTTTCTCTTTGAATTCATTATTGGTGAACAGATGTGCTATTGATTTTTGTGTGTTGATTTTGTATCCTGTTATATTGCTGAATTGGTTTATTCTACAGTCTTTTGGTAGAATCTTTTGGGTCTTCTGGGTAGATGATTGTGTAGTCTGCAAAAAAAAAAAAAAAAAAATCAAACTCTTCCTTTCCTTTACATACCCGTTTTATTTCTTCTCTTTTCCTTGCCTGATTTGCTCATGTTTTGAGTATTGTGTTGAACAGGTATAATAACAGTAGGCATCTTTGTCTTGTTTCTGATTTTAGAGGGAAAGGTTTCCACTTTTTTTTTTTTTTTTTTTTTTTTTTCAATGATGTTACCCTTTGGTTTGTCATAATTGACTTTTATCAGATTGAGATAAAGACCTTGTATGCCTGGTTTTTTCGGTTTTTTTTTTATCATAAATGGATATTGCATTTTGTAAAACGTTTTTCTGTATCTTTTGAGAAGATCATGTTATTTTTGTCTTTGTCTCTGTTTTTCTGATGTATTACACTTACTGATTCGCATATGTTACAATATCCCTGCCTCCCTGGGATGAATCCTATTTGGTCATGAGGTATGATCTTTTTGATGATTTGTTGCATTCTGTTTGCCAGTATCTAGTAGAGAATTTTTTAATCCATTTTCATTAGAGAGTTTGGCCTGTGGTTCTCTTTTAGCTAGGACCTTATCTGGTTTTAGAAGCACAGTAATGCTAGCTTGCCGGGATGACTTCTGGAGTACTCCGTGACTTTCAGTTTCATTAAAAAGTGTGAAGAGTATTGTCCTTAATTCTTACCCACGTTCTTATAAAATTTAAAAGTGAATCCAGTGAGAACTGGGGTTTTCGTAGTTGGTAGGATTTTTATTACTCCTTCAGTTTCATTGCCTGTTATTGGATTATTCATGATTTTGTATCTTCTTGGTTCAGTTTTGGTATGAAGGTGTAATCATTTTCATAAATCATATTATTGTATGCAGAAATTAATCCCCCTCGGAAATTTTTAATTTATTGGGTTACAGTTTTGTGAAGTACAATAGTGGATAATAATATCATGAATTTTGGTAGGGTCATTTTTGATTTCACCTTTTTCAGTTTTAATTGTATTTTTTTGGATCTTTGGCTTCCTTTTTTAAATAAAATTGGTCAAGAGTTTGTCTATTTTGTTTGTTCTTTTAGAGAACCAACTTTTATTCATTGATTTTTTTTGTATTGCTTTTTAGTGTCAATTTCATTAATTTTTGCTCTGATCTTTATCCTTTTTTTGCTTGTACTAACTTTGGTTGTGGATTGTTCATATTTTTCTAGGACCTAATGGTACATCCTTAGATTACTAATTTGGGCTTGCTCTGTTTCTACGATGTGGGCAATCACAGGTACAAATCTCCCTCTCGGGACTGCTTTTATTGTATCCTGTAAGTTGTGTTATATTGTACTGGCATTATTGTGTGATTCTAGGAACTATCTACTTTTATTTCTTTTTTGATCCATTATTTATTCAAGAATGTATTGCTTAATTTCCATGCATTTATATAATTTCTTTGGTTTCTTTTTTCTAGTTTCAGTGAAGTATGATCTGATAATAAGCATGAAGTAATTTCAGTTCTTTTGCATTTACTCAGTATGCTTTATGAAATTTGGGGTATGTGCTTTAGTCTATTTTGGAGAATGTTCTATGTGCTCTTGATAAGAATATATATTCTGTTGTTGTAATGAAATACTCTAGATATTCCTATGATGTCCATTTATTTGAACTCTGATATATCTTTGTTGATATTTTGTCTAATTGATCTTTTTATGACAATGGGGTATTGAGGCCACCTGATGTAATTGTGTTAATATTTATTTGATCTTTTTGTCAGTAGTGTATATTTTCTGAAGTTGTGTTTACTGATGTCCTATCAATAGCTACATATAGGGAAATTTTTAATTGTTCATGATGCTGTTGTCTTGGCATATGCTTCTAGACACTGTTCCAGAAGTAAAAACCTACCTGACCTGGGTCTAACATACTTGGTCAACTGTTCATTAAAGTGTTTGAATTCAGTTTAAAAATTAAGTGATTTTATTAAACATCCTGATTTCCTATTTTCTCTTAAAATTATAGAAGTCTAAAAAAAGGTGGGGGGAATGAGAACCAAGACCTGTCACGTAGAGGTTCAAGATCCCAACAATGAATGTAACTGTACTGTATTCCTAAAATGTACCAATAAACTCAATTAAAGCTGAAAAATAATAAAATTATAGAAGTCTAGTTTGAGGGGGTTCCCACCTTGTACTCTTCATTTATATATGCATATCTGTTTGTTTGTCATAAGAAGTTGATTTTAGAACATTTAGTTTGACATTATTAGAGTAAGGAACTTGGAGCCATAGTAATATGATTTTCTAAGCAAAAGAAATATCATTAGGTTTAGTCAGGATTACTATTCATATGATTTACTATCAGTTGTTTAGTATTGACTCTATATCAGAAGACTTGGACTTAACATCTTTTCTTCCTCCTTTCTAGATCTTAATTTCTGTAGCTTTATGTTTTCATAGTTGTATAGTTGAAAATAATAGTAATACTGATTTCATGTGATTATTACACAATTTTAATATTGGTCATCAGATTCTTATTTAGAAGCAGTTTCAATCACTTCCAACAATGGTTATCTTATTACAGTTAGCACATCTTTAATTCCTGTCTTTTATAAAAAGTAATATCGTGTTTTAATGAACTCTTCAAGTTTTACATAGGTTTTGTGATATTGTTGATTAGTATTGGTATTCAACATGTTCATACACTTTTAGTAAAGATACAGATATTTTCTAAACGCTCACTTTTTCAGTCTCGAATGATAGTAATTTTTTCACAAGTAATTCATTTGGTAGGAACTATTTACTTATAAATACTTTTGAAAATATGAAGAAAAATAAATTTATTCTGTGAAATAGTAAAGTAAAAGCCTATTGTAATTAAACCTGGTTTTACATTTTATAATAAAATTACTTTGCAAATAATCCAGATTGTTAAAGTGACTATATGAGGATATGAGTGTAATTATTAATCTAATAAAATTTAACTGAGGACTGAAGTGAGGATAACAAAATAAATAGCACCACTGTCTAGTGCTAAATACATGGAAGGGAAGCAGCAAATTGTGATTGGAGTTGTTTCCATGCTTTAAAATGTAGAGTTTATTGTGTTAATTTTT